TAAGCAAGATCACGCTTCAAAACACTTCATAAACAAAGCTGAACTGTCTCTACATGCATGAGAGTTTGTCATTTTTAATCCTTTGCCTTGACTAGATCAGACCATCGGATGCCTCCAAACCAAGGTAACTCTTGTGCAGTTACATAAACAACTGCGGTCACACTACTTAACCCATTATGCGCACTACCTAAAATGTCTCTACATTATTTTTATTTTTTTTAAATGCAGATCCTAATCCAGGAGGCTGGGATTCTGATGAATTTGTAAGTCCCCATGTTATACTTTTTTTAAAAATTCCTCTCAACACTTTTTTGGAACTTAGTATTAAATGCAAAATGTGTATCTATATTTCCAGGACCAAGAAGGAAGTGACAACGACTATGAGGAGCCAGATAATAGTAATGAGTGTGAAGACAATTACATATGCGCAGCATCATGTGATATTGAGAATGATGAGAATGCTGATGATGACTATGAACCACCTCCATCTGAAACACCTTCTGAATTACCGTCTCACTTTCGTGTTGCTAAGCCTCTTGGTGATGGTGATTATTTGGGTAATTAACAATACTAACACAAATCACTAATATGTACATAAATGAAAGAATCCATGTATCTCAATTAGTAAGATTCACTCACCCATTCTGTCACGTGGCGGTGTGTAGACAGCGGCCCACGTGGTTCTGCAAGACCACATCAGAACTACAAGTCAGCATCTCTTTCCAGAGGACTTTTGAATGTAAGTAAAGATTTTTTTAGTATAAATATATCTTAATGACTCTTTTTACTGTAAATGCTGTAACTATAGGGTTGTGCATAAGATGACTGACTTTACTTTCAGACATCTAAGCCTCCATCACGACCGGATCCCTCTCCACACAGGCCTTTCATTCTCCCCACTCAATGTAAGTGAGTTCAATTTCAAATCCCTCTAATATGAAAGCATGATCTCTGAGCGTTCTGCAAATCATATCCACAGGCAAACCTGGTGTGCCAATGGTAGATCGGAGTAAGAAACCTGGCTCATCTACTCCGTCAAAAAAAGGTATTGGCAAATAATCAGGTACCATTCTTTTTGTATTTGTATTACCTTTTGTATTGTCTGGTCATATTACTCAACATTTGTTTTAACTTAAACAATTTCATTTTTATCCTTACAGCAATAAACCAAAACACCTTACAAATGGCTTCAAAATCAGCAACTTTACCCACAAAAAGGTACGTATCTTTATCAACAACTTGCATTCATTCTTTTAAAGTCAAAGAGCAGTATAGTATCTACATAATTTTCAATCTCCAACACAGATTTAATATCCAACAGAGGGATGAGCTTCCTCCTCCACCTGTAGAAGTGATGGGGCACGTGAGTACAATCACATTACCAATAATAAACATGACAACAAGCGTCTCACAATCCCACAAACGTCCAGGAATTTAAAACACGCAATTAGACTAGACAACCACAAGATGACACTGTTGTTACACGTGGTCTTGTGGTTTGTTTAACAATGAAGCTAAACAAAAGAAATTTAAGCCTAGTATTGCTTATATGCCTTACATGCATTATTCTCAATCAAAATATGTTTTCTGCTGTAATAATAAAAGCGAACACATGCTAGTCCACAGTGTAAAGGCTGAATGATTTTTATGCACTCAGGACATGGATCCACAGTGGTATGTCGGGCCAATGTCACGAGCAGAGGCCGAAGTCTCACTCAGACAAATGAATAGAGTGAGTTCCACCACTAGAATGTTTTAAAATGATCTAAAATGCATCCCTGCCTTCAAACAATTCTTAGAAAATGTGAATAAAAAACTTTTGAGAATTAATTTGTAATTTAAAGACACAACAAAAAATTCAGGCCTTTGAATCTAAAGAGAAAGACAGAACAGAGGGAGCAAAAAATAGAGAACGTAAAGTATGAAGACACACACATATACATTGCGTCTTTTTTTAGGATGGCACTTTCTTGGTGAGAGACAGTTCAAAGGGCTGCACAGAGCAGCCATACACACTCATGGTGCTGCACCAGCAAAAAGTGTACAACATCCAGATCCGTTTCCTTGGAAACAGCGATGGATATTCCCTGGGCAAGGGCCTAAATGGTGTTGAGGTAATGGCATCTGTTGATTCTGATAGAAACGTCAGTCATGAATGAGGTCCTGATTAACCCTTTAAAGCCTGGCGTATAAAATAATAGTCAGAAAAATCACATTTTTAAAAAAAATTGAACAGTTTATCAGAAAAAAAAAAGTTTGCATATGTGTTTATTTTGTTGAGTATCACATTTGATACGTCAGGATTTTATGGCTCATATAGTATGATATAAGTGATATAGGAGAATATGAAGCTTATACTCAAGATGGGAAAAATGCCTTAATTTTAATCAGAGGCCCAAACAGAGCGAAAATATGCAATTTGGTGCAGTTGCTGATATTTAAATGATCAAAAAGTAAGCTAAAATTCTGACAGCTTGTAATGTAATTAAATGAGATATTTGTTACATGCCTAATATTAAAAGCATTTTTACGTAAGTATTATGCTGTTACTCTATGTCTCCGTAATGATTTATCGATATACAAAGATATGCAATACAAAGATGATTGAGAGACATACAAATAAATGTTCCTCATCATATTTGATACACGTAAAAAAAATTTTTTTTAAAGTACAGATAATCAAATCAAGATTAAGTTGCTTCAGTATAGTAAGTGTTCATCTTGAAATATTACTAACAGTATAAAAGTTGCTCTAACATATATTTTATGAAAATCAGTAAAGATTTCACAGCAAAAATACGTTTACCACAACCGGAAGGAGATGTTTTTTAGAATTATACTTATATACCTATTTAGAAGGCCTTTTGCTTGTTGGGAAAAAAAACCCCCATAAATTATCAGTTAGATGACAGAAGGCATGTAGCAGATTGTGTACAACAGTTTTGATCATGTTGATAAATTGGAGGCCTTAGAAAGTTGTGTATCAAATACAGGTTTTATAGGGTTAACTAGGGTTAATTAGAGTGAAGACTATGTTTTAGATTATCAGCAGTGGTGATTTTTATTGGTTCTGTGAGATTCCCTCAATTAATCGACTGCATGTGTGTCCCAGAATTTCTCCAGTGTCATGGACATGGTCACGCACCATATGAAGACCCCACTGATTCTGATAGATGGAATGGAGCGTGGAGCCGGACTTCATCGGCAGTGCTGCCTCATGCACCCGGCTGGTTTCTGACCCACAATGCAGAAGAGCAATCTATATACAGTATTTCACAGAAGTGAGTACACCCCTCACATTTTTGTAAATATTTTATTATAACTTTTCATGTGACAACACTGAAGAAATGACACTTTGCTACAATGTAAATTAGTGAGTGTACAGCTTGTATAACAGTGTAAATTTGCTGTCCCTTCAAAATAACTCAACACACAGCCATTAATGTCTAAACCGCTGGCCACAAAAGTGAGTACACTCCAAAGTGAAAATGTCCAAATTGGGCCCAAAGTGTCAATATTTTGTGCAGCCACCATTATTTTCCAGCACTGCCTTAACCCTGTTGGGCATGGAGTTCACCAGAGCTTCACAGGTTGCCACTGGAATCCTCTTCCACTCCTCCGGCTGGGTATCGAGATACTTTTTAGGCACCGACCGAATTGCCTCGATACCATCGAGTATTGAAAAAAACGGCTTGTCATTCGGTACCAAATTTCGATACCTAAGGGGTTAATCTCATCAAAGTCAGTGAGGAGCAGATCGATCAGTGTTTGACATCCGCGAGAGCGATGTGAAAACGTACGGAGCAGTCTGCTCGTGGTATCTTACTATAGCCTAATACACCGATAGGTCTGCACAGTCGGTCCGCGTCACGAGCCACACTCACAGAGATGTTGCGCACACGTGAGGCTGTAGTGTGAATGCGTCCCAGCCCCCTTAGATGTAAGGCTACATTTACACTGGTGCATTTATGTTTTAAAATGAAAACGATCCTCGTCATACTGACGTTTCCACTGCGTTTCAAGCCGGCTTTCCACTATCTCCGACAAATGACAGACCGAAAGTCATTCATTTCTAATGGAGAGTAGCGCGGGAGCTGTGTAAAGTTTCAATCATATGAAGATGTCCGTTCATACTACAAGACCGAAAGCACGTGTTATGTGACCATTCATGCACACTGTAGCATCATGCTACATAAGACCAGGGTTTAAATTGGGCCGGGCCGTCTGGGGCTGAGCCCCGGCACTTAACGTTATAGACTCCAGGGCTTGACATTAACTCTTCATTAACACCAGACAAGTAACATGATTAAAACATCAGTAACCAAAAATAACTATGTAAACACCAAAACACAATATTATTCTGATTTTATTACATTTAGAGTAAGTGGCGAATAGTGGATATAGCTACTGTATATAATGCATCTATTGAAGGAATAAGGTTGCGTTGCTGAGGCGAGGCTCCCGCAGCCTCTCCAGGAGAAATTAAAACGCGCAACACTAAGAAACTCAGCATCCTGAGGTAAAAATTC